CTTTATTAATTTACTTATTTTATTTGTGTTAAAATCAAAAAGAAAATTATAATTTTATATCGATTATAAAATATTAAATTAAATAATTTATAAAGATTATATGGCTTTTTTATTAATTAATGAAATATTAAATCATTTAGTAAAAATCATTTTATTTATAAAGCTTAATTTAAAAAACGCGTATTACCGGTTTAAAATTAAAAAAAAGAATAAATGGAAAATTATATTTAAGACGAAATATAGTTATTTCGAATATTTAATAATGCCGTTTAACTTTTTTAATACGTTAACCACGTTTTAAAATTATATTAATAAAGTATTATTAAGGTTAATAAATATAATTTATATTATATATTTAAATAATATCTTAATTTACTTTAATAATAAAATATTATATTTATAACATATTTAAAATATATTTAAAAGATTAAAAAAATGGAAGCTTTACGTTAACTTAATAAAATATAAATTTTATATAAAGGAAATGACTTTTTTAAGGTTTATAATAACGTTAAAAAATATTAAAGTAAATAAAAAAAAAGTATCGGCGATATTAAAATAATTGATACTTTATAATATATATAAAATATAGGTATTTTTAAACTTCATTAAGTTTTATAAGAGATTTATTAAAGGATATTTTAAAATAATAACCTTATTAATAAAGTTTTTAAAAAGGAAGTTATCGTTACGTTTCGAATTACCAACGAAAACATTAAAAATATTTATAAAATTAAGGTTATTATTCTCAAAGGCATTTATTTTAAAATATTTCAATATTTAATTATTTATTAAAGTAAAGATTAACATATTATAATAAGCCGTTAATATGATATTATCATAATTATATAAAGAAAAATAACATTTAATGGCTTTTATATTTTAAAAATTATATAATAATGAGGTATATTATATTATATTTAATGTCGAAATGTTAACCATAATTAATACTTTCAAAAAATGGAAACATTACTTTATATATTTTAAGGAAAAAGTAAATATATTAACGGATTATTTAAATTTATAATATATTATATCGAAACTAAAATTAAATAATTAATAAATAAGATAAATAAAGACTTTAATTAATTTTAACTTTTAAATAATATATAAACCCGGGAACTTTAATTTAACCGATGATATATCGTATCGATTAAATTATAAAAACATTAAAGGAAAGATTAAAGTTTATAAAAGCGTTTTACCGAGATTTTAAAAAAGGTTTTAAGATAATTAAAAGAGTTATAATATAATAGTAAATAACTTTAAAACGTTAAATAATAAAGCAATTATAAGAATGCATACTTTATTATCGAAATATTAAAATAAGATATAAAAAGCATTATTAAAGTTCTTAAAAATGTTCAAAAATAATTAGGAAATCTTTAAAATTTAAGAAAATAACGAATATATTAAAAGTTAAAAATAAGGTACCCGTAAATATAACGTGGTTAAAGTAATAATAATAAAAAGGGATATATTAAATTAACCTTTTTTAAAGAAAATAAAAGAAAAATAGGAAAAAGACTTTTTTATTATTAAAGAAAAATGGCATATAAAACGGTTTAATCACGACCTTATATTACTTATATAAAAAATTAATAAAGAAAGTTTACTTAAATATAAAAACCAAATATATATGTTAATAATAATAAAAGGAAAGTTATTATATAATTATTATAATATACCTTTATCGGGTTATTAAAAAATAATAAAGATAATATTAAAATTAACGAAATATTATTATTAAGATAAGTTAAGAAATAATGTAAAAAGTTATATAAATAATTATATCATTTATTAAAAGATAAAAGCGAAACGACATTTATTTTATAACGAATTAAATTTATTACTTATATTAAAAAGCTTAAGAAAAAAAATATCTTTAAATTTTATTACCGAATTCTTTAAAGTTATTACGTTAAATAACCGTTACTATAATAATATCTTAATTATCGTTAACCGATTTTCGAAATATACGTTATATATAATAATTATAAAAAATTTAACCATTAATAACTTCATTAATATATTTTTTACAAAAATCTTCTTGTAAATAAAACTCTTAAAAAGAATAATATTAAATAAAAAATCTTTATTTATAAATAAATTTTGGTTTATATTATATTACTGCTTAATAATAAAGAGGCGGTTAAATATTATTTACCATTTTTAAATAAATGGATAAATAAAGAAATAAAATCAAAACTTAAAACATTACTTATAAACTTTTTATAACCATAAATAATCTAATTAAATAAAAAAGCTCACTTTAATAAAATAAATATATAATACCTTAATCCACTTAATATATAAATAAACACCAATATATTTATATATAAAGTTCACATTGAAAAAACTTAATAATTTAATAACATTAATCTTAAATTACAATATAATTAAAAGCGTAAAATTAATAAACAAGATTTATTAAAATAAGGAAAAGGTAATAACGTTATTATATAATTTTAATAAAACATACGCGAAATAATATAATAAAGATAAGTTATAAAAAACGTTTAATAAAGATAATTAAATCATAATTTCCATAAAAAATATAAATTAAAAACGACTTAATAAAAAATTAACGGATAAATATTTAAGCTTTTTCAAGGTAAAAAAGGTTATAAATTACCATCGAATGGTATATAAACTTAACTTACCGCTAAAATATAAAATATATAACATATTTAACATAAATACTTTAAAGCCATTTATATTTAAATTTAATAAAGTCTTAATAAAATAAGAAATAAACTTTAACAAAAATAATATATATAATATAGAAATAATTTTAAATTATAAAAGTAAAGGCAAAAATAGATAATATCTTATTAAATAATTAAGATTTAATAATAAAAACGACTTATAAAAACCAACCTTAAAAATATTCAATAACGTAAAAAAAGCTTATGAAAAATACCTTAAAAATAAAAACAACGTCACTTATATAAAAACTAATATATAAAACATAACATTAACATATTAATAACTTATTAACCACTTATCAATTTAAATTATTTATCGAAAAAATATAACGGCTATTAATAAAATTATAAAGCTTTTTAAGTTTAAAAAGTCTTAAAAGACCCGTAAAACTTAAGAAACCAATAAAATTAACAAAACCAATAAAACTAAGAAAATTAAAGATAATTATACCATTAATAAAAACTTATAAAGTTAACGTAAAAAAATAATGGGATAAAGGAAACTTAAATAAAAGAAATATACCATAATAAAATATTTAATTAACTAATTAATATCCTTAAAAAAATTAATAAAATTACCATAAAATATATATAACTCCATTTTAAAAAATTAAAGAATTTTTTACATAACTTTACTAACTTTAAATATTTATTTATTATAATTCTATTATCACTCCTTCTTTTTAAAAGTTAAATAACATTAATATTTTAACCATTACATCTCATTTATATTATAATTATTCTTAATAACTTATAAAACTTTCCATAAAATTAATTATATCGTTTTAATAACTTTTTCGAAATTAATTAATTATAAAATAATAAAAAGATCGGGAAAAACTTACAATATAATTATTAACGTCAACTTTAAAAATAATATAAAAAACATAAATTAACATTTTATCACTTAATAAAAACTAAATTACATTAAATTAATAATTACATAATAATAATATAAAATTAAAAATTTATAAACTTATAAAGTTTTTTATATATATAACATTTATAATATTTATTAAAACCATTTAAGAAAAATTAATTAAATTATATATTAAAGGAATTAAAAAATTACTTTACTTTTTACTTTAATATAATTATAATTAATAAGCTTATCTTTATATTAATTAATTATACGATATATATAACGTTAATATATTTTAAGATAAAGTTTTTATTTATTAATTATAACGTTATAATAAAGAATTAAGAAATAAAACAGTAAATAAATAATATAAAAAAGATTTATATTATTATAAAAAAAAGAAATAAAATAAAAATATAATAAAGATTTAATAACTTTATATAAATAACCATAAGTTAAAAAAATAAAAAAATTATATATAAAAATAAGTATATTATTTATAATAATAATAACGTTCATAATAAAAAACGTTTAACGTGAATAAAAAAGCAGAAAATAATTATTAACATATATTAACTTTATTATAAAAACTTAATGAATTAATAACTTTTAAAAATAAAAACATAATAATAAAAAATAACTTTATTAAAAAATAAGTTAAAATTAAACTTATTTAATATTAACGCTTATAATAAAATTCATATATAAAAAACATATAATTATTTCGATAAAAAGTCGAAAATTAAATATTATTAAAACATTATTATTTTATATTTACTTAATAATTATTACGTTATATATTTTTAACATTTACTTTACGTATAAATTAAATTAAAAAGTTTTTTTCATAAAATCGAATTTAATAATTTTAATATTTGATTTAACAAGTGACGAGAAAAGTAATCTGCACCGAATGTCACTCTTATTATTAACCCGATATTTCATGAGTTCCTTTAATCGGCAAAGTGAAGGCGAGAAAAAAAAAAAAAAACTGGAGGTGAGATTTCGTCCACCGCACAGTTCTCCATTCTCATTTGGCGGACAGCAACCTCCCGACAACTAGTGATTCTCCCTCGGGGTGGGTCAGAGCTAAGGGTCATTCCATTATAAGTAATTAGGTCAATCTCTCTGCCGAGTCCCCGGAATGTCAAATCCAATACCATACCATACATACTTATAAGCATACATACAGCTGGCGGACAACTATAGCTCAAATGTAGGTACCTACCTAGATACCAGGTAGTCGGTATTTAAAGGGCTGTGATTAAATTTGGCCAATCAAGTATACGGATTAATTAGGGTCATTAGGTATTAAGGTCCAAAACAAAATAATGGGACTGAGCTATCACCTCCGCTTTTAACCCAGAACTAGACGAGAAAAAATGATTAAGCCAACAAATTACCTAGTTGATTTAACCAAAAAGTTTTGTTGGACGAGCAGGGAGTTGAACCCTGGACTTCTCGCATTTCAGGTACCCCAGACGGGTGCGAAGCGAGCACTCTACCACTGAGTTACACGCCCTTTGAAGGGGAAATGAGCGGGGGACACCGCTTCATCTGATTGGTGAGAATTTTAACCTAGTCTTGGTATATATTGCCTTCATAGGGCTTCAACCATTAGACGGTGGAATTGTAAATTGATTATTAGACGCATATTAAGGCAAATGGGGGTTTCTAGTATTTTCACAAGAGAGGTGCCTACCTAGGTACCTAATCACCTCTTTTTGGCGCCATTACCTCTTGTTCATGAAGTATCTGTTCCTCAGAATTGAAAGAAGAAGAAACTTGGGGAATAATTTCTTTGCCTTATAATACATGTAAGATAGCAGGTCATGGTTAAACCTAGAATCAAAACTTTGTCATTGCCCACGTCCCGACAACTCTGAGGCCACCACAATAATAGCACCTTAAGTTAACAATCAATGATTTACTAAAGATCCCATTGATTTCGCCTCCGTTGTGATGCCATTCCGTTCTCGATGAGTCGCGCCGAAAGCGTACTGTTCTTTGTCCCTTTATGTGGGATGGCCTTGTTGTTAACAGTAGGTGTTTCCCCCTGAAATCCAAGAAAAGAACACGTTTAAGACTTAAATCTTTTATACGATCGGATTATATACCTAGCCTCGCTCCGTGAAATTGCTAGAGTTGCGACGTTCGCATCATACGCACCTCAACCGATTAAAGTCTTGCTATTAATCCGAGTCGATAAGAATACCATTAGATTTTGATACGGCGGGAGAAGAGGAAAAAAGAGTTACAATGGCAGCAACGGCGGGTCGGACTTCACCAACAGCAATTGGGCAACCCATAGAGCTCCTGCACCTTTCCCGGAAGGCAGAGTATGCTTTAGACCAGCTCGCTGAAGCGATCAGGGCAGTTGAGGACTATGGGAGAGCAATGAAACATCCAACACTGCCTGATGGCACGCCAATTGTATGGGGTGATTTCTTCAACAACAACCTAAATCGTTCCATAAGAGAAGCAATACAGCAATCCCGGGTTTGCACCCCGCTAGTAAATGCACTCCTCCCATCGCCGCAGAAAGCCTCGGTGGACGTAAGAAGCTATACCAATCATTATCGAGCTCGGCGGGACCGGCTCCAGGAATTGAATAGGCGGCTCGAGGAGTGGAGACACCAGGGGAATCTTATCCCCGGCCTTAAGTGGCCCGAAGATATAGTGATTGACTTTGAGCCAAGTAAGTCAGGTGAACAGAAACCACCTAAACCACCGCATCAACCGCAAAACCCGCAAGGGGGAGAAGACCCACAAGACGGAGGAGAACCAGACGGCGGAGACGGAGACGGTGGTAACGACAGCTCAAGCTCGAGCTCGATTGTGACAAACGGAGAAGAGGAGTGGGTACCCCCGGCTCGAAGAACTAGTACGAGCTCGAGCTCAACATATGTGCCAAACGATGATGAGTGGTTTGAACGCCAGCCTCGAAGCTCTAGTTCGAGCTCAAGTTCGGAAGATGATGAGCCTGCTTCACCCCCGGCGCCTGCTCCTGCTCCACTACCTACTCCAGCCATCACCCGGCCCCTTTTCCCCCCTGGAAAACCACCCGTAGGCCCTACTAAAAAGTCAGACTCAAGTTCAGACTCATCTTCGGATGAAGAATATAAGCCTCCTAAGACAACCTTATCAGGCAAGACTTCGGGAGGTAAAACAACCTCAGGGGACAAGACAACCTCTGGAGGTAAGACTGCTTCTGACGGTAAGACTGCTTCCGGGGGTAAAACAACTTCGGGGGGTAAAACAACCTCCGGAGGCAAGACTGCTTCGGGAGGCAAGAAGACTTCAGGGAGTAAATCAACTTCGGGGAGCAGAACAGCCTCTGGGGGCAAGACTCCCCCCGGAAGCAAGACGCCCACAGGACGCAGGGCCCGAGCAGGGTCCTCGCCTGATATACCCCGCTTTATTACTCGAAGCTCAAGCGAGGAACCGGGGCCCACAGTAGGAGCATCAGCTTCTGATCCTATTGAAATAAGCTCAACCCCGCAACAGGAAGAGCAACGTGAAGAGAAACGTGAAGAGCAACGGGAAGAAGAACGGGAAGAGGAACCGGAACCAGAACAAGAAGAGCAACCAGAAGAGGAACCAGAACCGGAACCAGAGCCGGAACCGGAACCGGAGCCAGAGCCAGAGCCAGAGCCAGAACCAGAGCCAGAGCCAGAGCCAGAACCAGAACCAGAACCAGAACCGGAAGAGGAAGAGGAAGAGGAAGAGGAACCAGAGCCGGAGCCAGAGCCAGAACCAGAACCGGAAGAGGAAGAGGAAGAGGAAGAGGAACCAGAGCCGGAGCCAGAGCCAGAACCAGAACCAGAACCAGAACCGGAAGAGGAGGAGGAGGAGGAGGAGCCTGCTGCCCCTCCTGCCCCCCCTGCCCCTCCTGCGAGACCCGGAAATCCTGGGCTTCCGGGTACCGGTACGGGCGAGTACAGATTGGTTAGGGTTGGTAACGGCTACGCACGAAGGTTGCCTAGAAAACGCCCCGCGATTGATCCTGAACTCGCGAGAAAGAGGGCCAAAAATTGGTGAATCTGTCCCCCCACCGTCGGCGAGACAAATTGGGAATGGCGACTTGATGTGGGCTGACAAAAGAATTATGAGGCATTGGGGGAACAGCCTCCATCCTCGAAATTCCGACCAGTTTCTACGAAAATATTTGGGTTCGTTTATTCCACGGCATCAGCGTATTTCGCATACGGAGTTGGTAATTGTTTGAGCCTGTACCTTGCTCATGTTTGATGTTTTGACAAAATCATTGTTTATAGTCAAGCGTCCGCAGTAATACTTGATCTGCGATCGTACATAATAAGGCAAAAGTTCTGACAACTCATGGAGAAATTTGGAAACTTTATATTTTCGAGTCATTGAGTGATAAGAACCTTACGCAGGTTTTGAAGGTGCTCCCCTTGCTAATGTGAAGTGTTGCCGTAATGTTAACGAAGAAACACACCAACCTAGACATATAGACAACGTGACGTAGTTGGGGCTTGAAAACTCCGCTTACATTCGATGTTAGCTTAAGGGTCCTCTGACATAGAGTTCAAGCTTCCAGAACTAAAGGCTAGACTAAGGAGAACATCCATAAATCTTGGCATTACTGGCCAAAATTGGCCGTGTAGTGTTGTGGTTAGGTAAATTCACCCCAAAATTGATGACTTATCTCAACTAATTTGCTAACACCAATGCCGCACGCAGGATTTGTGAGCCTTTCACTTGAATCTAGAATCCAGAATAGTCGACCCTAACAATTCACAGTGATAATCATTCATCAAAATTTCCTGAGACCTGAGTTCAATCCTGGGCGGAGCCTCATCAGGTTTCTTGTTTACTCTGTGGAATTTTCTTTCTTTCTTTCTCCCTTTTTCCCCTTGTATCGATTGTAATTTAGTATTGCTAGTCCGCCTCGCCGTCACAACTAGAAACTCAGTGGGTTTTTACTCAGATTTAGATAGCGAGGGTGGAGCTGAGTCACGATCAGAGTAGTTTCCCCACCTGTTGATATTGAAAGGGGGGTAAGGTAAAAGACCAGAATGAAGGATTCCATATATTAAACGATAGATCAACTTTGCGTCTCGGGGGGTCCTGCGCGCCATGGGCACACGTCTCATGTATCTATACGTACCTCCTAATAGATACGTCAGGAGAAGGTATATACTAGTAGTATATACTAGTAAGTATCGTTAGTCCTTATTACTTGTGGCTTGACGTTATCTCGGCTGATTAGTATTCAAGATACAGCCCCTCATTAGTGCCGCACTGTTTATAGCTCCTATTCCATAATTAAGTATATTCTTGCTTCATAATACAACAGCCCTGAAAGTAGAAACAGGACAACTCATCCTAAAACTCAATGTCACGTAGCTGTGCACCTACCTGTTATACCTAAGGTACACCCACCCAGGCAGTTATTAAGGTCTTTGCTAATGGCACTGTAAGGGAGGACCAACAACTATCTATCAGATTAAGCACAAGAGCTCCTTTATATAGGTACACATACCTCCCTAAGGTAGCTAGAAGTCGCACTGCTCTACGATTGGCAAGTTGCCAGCCAGCCAGCTGGTCCTAGCAAAATATGTGACTCACTGTCTGTAGTTGCCCCAGGCATCTATGGTCGCCCTTGACATCTGTTATGAACTTACAGGTCTGTGCCTGGTTCAACAAAGGCTACTTGTCCCATATCCTAAGTATAAAAACTAGAGCATCCCTCCCAAAGTTTTATCCCTTCCCTCTTCCACCACACACTCTCCAGTACATCTTCATCTCTCCAACCATCGATCCAAGATCGCGTCGAGCAATCCTTGAGGTATGTCAAAGACTTACGGATATCCTATTTTCCTTCCCGTTGTATAGCCAATCAATCCCCCCATCTCGTCTCTTCATCCATCGCCATCTACACATGTTGCCCAAGCGACAAATGAATATCCCACAATTACTCGCCATATTCGTTGTGGCCTTCATATTGGCATTGCTATCATCACTACTCGCTCTACGCCTTTTTTTTTTTTTTTTTTTTTTTTTTTTCGTTCGCCGAGCCCCCCTCTTTTTTCAGCAATCCAAAAACCACGCGCGCGGGCATACACATGCTAATATTTTTACAATCCATATAGACAGATCTTTCCGCAAATACTGAACTCAACAACAAGGGTCGAGGTTCCAGGATGGCGATGATAGTGGTAAGCCCCCGATCTTTTTTTTCTTACTTCGATCTCTCTACAAGCCTATCACCACCGAGATTACATGAAAGTATTCCTCGAATCTAGAGCATCTCCTTCCAGGCACTTATTAGGGTATTTGTTGGTGCTAGAGACAGTTGAGTTTATGTCTTCATATTTTGCTGACGGGTATGGAAGCCCCAATATTGGGTAGTAGGTCAACTCCAGAACGCGTGGGCCTAGGACACCGGCGCGCCAACTGGAGGCACTTACGAGGTCGTTGTTCCCTCAAATACACGCGACTGCTCTCACCGCGAGCTTCTAGAGGAGGCCCAGAATCTACATGACGCCTATCGAA